GTTAAAAGGGAGGGAGGGAGGGAGGAGAAGGGGGAAGGGAGAGAAAGGAAGAAAGAAAACGAAGGTGTACATTTTATTTTTTAAAATTTATTTTTAAATTGTAATTGGACACTTATTTTACTTACTTATTTTATGTGGTGCTGAGCATAGAACCCAGGGCCTCACACATGCTAGGCGAGCGCTCCATTGCTGAGCCACAACCCCAGAAATACTTGTTGCCTACCTGCTCCAGGTCAAACATTGGCTAGAGGTTGAAGAAACAGGGGTGATCAAGATACAGTAACTTCATGAAAGGTATTAAACTTTAGTGAAGACAAAAAAGTAAAGAGGCAATTACAAAATAGGGATAAAGTACATTGGGATAAACCTGAGAAAAAATAGAAAAGGAACACCTGATCCCATCTTGTGGGATCAGGAAAGATCTGCTGGAACAAGCCAGGTTGGAGACCCAATGAATGAGTAGGAGATGGCCAGAAGGAGAGTGGACAGACAGATGCAGCTGGTGTGCTTTGAGGCAGGAAAGTTGGGGAGAACTCGAGGTGGGGAAATCAGATCTTGGACAACCTTCTCATAAATCACACCAAAGGAGCCTCACTGTTTGCTGTGTGCAAAGGCAAGCACAAGGTGATTTTATTTTTAAATTTTTGTTTATTCTTTTGCAGTGCCGGAGATTAAGAGTGGGACTTCCTGCTACACCGGCTCCCCCACCCCTTCTTTTGGTGCAGGGATTGAACCAGGGTCACTTTACCACAGAGCTACATTCCCAGTCCTTTTGAGACAGAATTGCTAAATTGCTGAGGCTGACCTCGAACTTGTGATCCTCTTGCCTCAGCCTCCGGATCTGTACCACCACACCTGACCTTGACCATTTTTTTTTAATCTCCTCACCCCACCCTCAGTGCTAAAGATGTAATTTAGGGTCTTGAGAGAGTTTTACACAGAAGAGTGGCATAAAGGATTTTGCCTTTCAGAAAGATCATTAGAGCTGCAAATAGAGAAGAGACAGGGATCAAACTAGAGGGGACTCATTAAGAGGTTCTTTCAGTAAATGAGATGTGGCCCCAGTGACAGTCTGAGTAATTGCTAATACTCTGAGTCACATTATCTCATTTAATCTTTGCAACTCAATGAGGTAGATATAATAATTTCCTATTTATGGACGGGGAATTCAAGGAACAGAAAAGCTAAGTAACTGCCCAAAGTCACAAGGCAAGTGGTGGCAGTAGAGAGGAGGAGTAGACAGATTTGTATGGACGGGACTGAATGGATAATGATGCCATTGATATTCATTACTGATTTGGGGAGAGAGGCTAAAGGCAGGAGTTATGGGTGATATGCAAGGGTCTAGCTCAAGTAACTAGGCAATTACTGAGTTAAGAAATACAGGAGAGGGCTGGGGATGTGGCTCAAGCGGTAGCGAGCTCGCCTGGCATGCGTGCAGCCCGGGTTCGATCCTCAGCACCACATACAAACAAAGATGTTGTGTCCGCCAATAACTAAATAAATAAATTCTCTCTCTCTCTCTCTCTCTCTCTCTCTCTCTCTCTC